GAAATGGGCATGAGTCTTACTTAGGGACCCGAAATGGTGGACATCATTTAGGTGCGGAGTCATGTCCGCCAACCACTTTTGAGGTGCTTCCAGCTCTTTCAGGGCCAAATGACATCCGAAAGCAAGCCCCGCACATTTTTGAGTGGTCTCACCATGGGCGTCCAAAAGGCCGGCGTGTCATTTTGCCGGGCGGTTGCAGAGTTCAATCTTGGGACTTGTGGTTCGGGGTGTCTAACTCTGAGATCTTGCAGTCCGTTGTGCCGGACCTGGAGCCACTTTCGCAATCGTGAGGCTTCAGGGCAAGAGTTCAGAAAGGCTGAACTTAGATTGCTCTTGTTTTAGCTTAGAAGGATGTCTTGGCTGAATCTGGACACATTCAATGAATGTCTTGCGGGCTTAGGCTCCAGCCCAAACCAGCTGAAACAACCAAACTCGGTGAACAATTCCTGCCCCGATTCAGCCAAAGACTGCTCGTAACCCTGCCAAAGGAAGCACAATGCCGATGGCAAGACCCGCCCTGACTAACTCCTACACTCCAGAACCCGTCAAACAACCTCAAGCAACTGCGCGAAATTCTGCCGATCAACCAGAAAATTGTTCAACGACAAGCAAACCAGCGTGAAGGCCTGTGCATGGGCCAAGCAAAAGAGCACACCTTTAACAACAGGTCCTGCAGAAAGTAATTCCCATGTTGGACGAGTGTGTGTGTGTCTTTGTCTTTGTCTGTGGTATTTTCATTAGCCTTGCACGGACGAAGCCCAACTCCAACCAGTGCCCAACCCGGTCTTGTCCAAGAGCTTGGCAAACCTTGGCGAGCTGAGGTTTCGTTCCGACCCTGTAACCGTTTGCATGCCCACTTGGTTTGCCCTTTGACTCCTCTCTTTGTGGGGCAAACAAGGAAATCCCCGTAAAAGACTTACTAACACTTGGTGTGTTCGCAAAAAAAAAACACGCTCTTTGCCAACCTTCCGACTAGAAATGACTCTAGAAATTAACAAGCCGAGGACAAAGAAGGAACCGCTGCAGGATGCAAGTCAGTTTCATAGCTGCTGTCGTTGTGGAAATCCGGCTTCCTAGGTATTGTTCTCAACATAGCCCGCTGAATGTGCATGGTTACAAACCAAAAGCGGGGGTGCCCAGGTTGTGACACCTCCACAAGTCCGACCTCACGCCAAAAGGATGTTTAAACCTTGATGGTTGAAGTCGAAAACAAACAAATGCGACGTTGCAATTTAAGTACTCCGCTGCAGTTTAACATGGGGCACCTAAAATGGGTCGCAGAAGAAGGTGGTTGTACAAGCGAAGGCTCAGTTAGGCTTTGCTGGCTCATGGGGAGTAAGTTTGCAAAGAAAAGGCTTCGGACCGTCCGAATCAGGGCTGTCGGAATCAACCAGTCATGTGATACAACAAAAATTGGGCTTCCAGAAGACCAACTCCCCGAAGAAAAAATAAACCTCCCAAAAGTATCACAGATGCTCAGATGCCCAGTGGCCATGGGAAAAAGAGGGCACCCTGTTGTTGGTTGGCTGAGTTTCAAATGGAACCCTTACCCAAAAAAGAAAGAAACAACGGAGCCACGGTGCAACCGAAGTGCTTGGATCCACCCCGAGTCCCACAACCCGCATCTCAGTGCCGCTTCGAGGGGCTCGTCCATAGAGATGCTCTCGTCCGAGTTCTCGTCCAGCTGGCGGCAGGCGAACTCCATCTGCTCGTGCTCGTACCTCCCGGCGAATTGGCTCGCGAAGGCGGTCGCTGGCTCCGGAGAGCTCGTTTCGGCACGGTCGGCTGGAGAATTCGCTGCCCGAACTGATCCCCTGCTGAAAGTTTCAACTTTGGGTGGGTGAAATGGCAACCCCCCGCGGAACCCCAAAAAGCTAAAAAGCCAAGGGCATGGCTGGGAGCGCCCAAGGTAGAAGTTTGACACCCGAAGGAAAAATCAAGCCATACCAAATCTCTGTCCGTGCAGCTTGGCTGACTTGAAGAGTCTCAGATCAACCCTGGGTTGTTTGGACATTCCACTGTGCGACATCGACATTCCAACCAAACACGATTGAGCTTTAATCAGTCAATCAGCTTCGAAGATACTTAAAATGACAGAGTGCCCCAAGGGAATATCGAGATATTGCGCCTGGTCCTGAATATTGGCTCAAGCCCAGGCCAAATTGTGTCCTATTCATAGACTGCGAATCATCATTTGCTCAGTTCCCCGTAGCAAACACAAATCACAACCAACAACCGCCGCTTGAGCCCAAAAACTACAAAAGCAACCGAGGGTGAATCCCTTGCAGGTCCTCACAAAAAAGCTCTGAACCCAAGCGACCGGGAAACGTGGTGACTTCTTGGTGAAGCTTGCGAAGCTGAAAACACCCCGATTCAACACTGCCAACTGACTTCCTTAAAACACAAAAGGCCACCACTGTCTATGGCCACTTAAAGCTAGTTGACCCAAAATAGATATCACAGATGTGGAGTTTCGGATCTGTGCGCACCGAGGGTTTGCAGAGAGTGGCCTCTACGCAAAGTCACATCAGCCATGGTCCAAATTGCTTGTTTACCCGAAAGGCCAAGGGACAATTACCATGTCCCCTGGTTGGTCTGGCCCTGCTCGTCCCTCAATGGAGCACTCGAACAGTGCCCCAAACATCTTGACTTCGGGCCGTGCCAAGATGGTTGTAAAGGTTCATTCGGGCTTTCTCCTAAACCAGCCGCTCTTTAGTGGCCCCACCAGGCGGTCTTGGGCGGTTGGGACCCCATGTTCCACTCCTCTGAGCTCCAAACTTGCCCGATGTGCCCAGGGACCCACAAGTTTGGGGCTTCTGCGCCTTGGAGACATCGGCCAAGGGCCAACAAATGGGCTCCAGGATGCTGCAGGTAAGGTAAGGATCTTGCTACACACATGGCTGTGGGTCAAAACCCAGGAAACCCCTGGTGAACATCAAATTTGGTGGTACATGGGAATTCATCCGCTCCAAAAAATGGAGGCATAGGTCATGACCCATGGCTACATGATTGTCCCTTGGTGCCAGCTGTAACCCGTTTGTAGAACTCCGTTTCGGGCCCCCTCATTGGCATGTGGTTGGCACCGTCAGGCGGATTTCCAGGGGCAACCATTCTTTTTTTCCATGGGCTTCTCACTTTCCAGACAACCACGGACATCCACCCTATAGAAGATTTCAATGTTGAGGTGGACAGCAACTTGGAGATGGTTGACTTGTTTTTTCACGGTTGCTTCCCATGCCTCTGACTTCGCGGGTTTCCCTGTAAAGTCACAGGTTCGCTTGCTGACTTGAGCTCGGTGCTGAGAGTTGACCATTTCCTGCTCCGCAGTGGCAAGTACGCCGACCACTTCCACCAGCACTGCCACCAAGAGGTTCATCATCTCGGCGAAGTGCCGTTTTGGATGCCCCAGTCTTTCTTTGGGAGCGCCGGAAGCTCGAGGCCATATAACAAGTGCTCCAATTGGTGGCAGGTGGGGTGTCAAAATGTTGTCTAGTGCCAAGTTCAAAAATGAGTCCAAGATCTCAAAGAAAAAACAGTTGCACAGCAACCCTGGTAGCACCGGGATTGGAGCCCTTTTCGGATTTCATGTTTCGTGGACCCGGTGGATACCCCGAAGGCTCCTTCAGGTGCGAGAGCGAACCAGCAAGCAATCCTTGGTTTTGATGCTCCTCATGCTCCCGGGCTCCACTGGAAGCATCACACCAAAAGACATAGCATCGTACATGCTCAACAAATGATTCGACCCGCCGGGAAACTCACCCCATATCCCATGATCTTAGCCCACCCGCATGGCACACCGCTTGCCTCACAACATCAAGATCTTAACCCATTTCCAAAACTGTATGGCACACCACACAAATGCGCGTGTTGCTACTGCCTTGACCGTTTCACACTAGTTTCTACTTTTCTGAGGTGGATTGTGAGCAAACAAGTTGTTTGAACCGTGTCCACAAACGCATGGCAATACTCCTAATTTCGTTGTTCATAGCTACCCCTCTGCGTTTATAAGCGACAATCTTCCAACAACGGCTGGAACGCAATGTGCCTAACGCCATGGCACACCGCGTTTTACCAGCGTTTCAGTAAAAGAGCCCTTCGCAAGACGCAAGCTTTTTGTATTATTGCTATTTCTTCCTTCTCCTTTCCTTTTTTCCTTCTTTCTGTGGTTTCTTCTTTCTTCATATTTTCTGATTGCTGTTTTATCATATTTTGCTCTTCGTTACTTTTTCTCTATCGTTTTCTCTTTCGCTCGCCCTGTCTCTTTCTCTTTCTGTTGTGCCTGCCACGAGATCTGTCCTGGCTTTCCGAACGTGCTGGCGCCTGTCGCGAGATTTGCACTTCTCCTTCCCTCCACTCTATGTGTGCCCCAAGTAAGCAGCTGAAGAACTGCCTTCGGAAGGCCCTTCCCCGGAGCCTTGGACCAAGTGGCTTGTTAGACAGGATCGGAGAAATCAACCCAAGTTAAAGTGGCGACATGGACAACCATGGGCGCTGGCCAATACCTTGCTTCAAAGCATTGACTTCCAGTTGCTTTACGCCCCCGGGGAAAAAACATGAGAACCTTTGTCCAGTAGTGATAGATTCCCTTTAAAACCAACAGGGGGAAACAACACATATTTGTTTCAGAAAATGGAAGTTGGTACCTTTCCCAACGCCAACTTCAAACAACCTCATAGGAACTGCATGGGAGCAGTGGTATAGTGCTGTAGGCCTTGCATGAAGTTCTACTGTAGCCAACTGGGCTCGCCTCGCACTCTCTTGGCGCCGGGCTGTCAAGGGCGCGAAGACCAAGTAGAGACAAAAGACAATGCCCAAAGGGACGTTGTCAGCCTCATTGCTAAGCTCTGCCCAGTGGGCAAAAACGAATCGGCATCCCTTTTTGGTTGAGTTTAAAGGGGAACCCTTACCCCCAAAAAAAAAGGAAAAAAGGAAGCAACCCACTGGGCAACTGGGTAAGGAATTGGCCGCTTGAACAGCGAGACGTAATTGAAACGCAATCGATTAAAGGAGGAGTCTACTCGACTCGCAGCAATCGAAAGGGTGGAGCCGCACCTAAATCCGGCTGAGATTGTCGGTGTTTGTGGTGCCTGACGTGAGGATGGTTTTGAACGGGAACCGAACCAATCCTTTCTGGAGAGGTCTTCGTTCGTTTTGACACCCACTTGGTGCAGGATTGAGCTGCGCCAAAGTCTGTGCAATGCAGTTGTTTCAGAGCATCGAAATTGGACCGTGGTCCTCTCAGGACCTGGAAATAGCAGGTTCACCTTTTGGCATCTCTGCTAAAAATGGACCAACCAAAAGAAAACCAAAAGGTGAAAAGGTCGGATTTGGACAACTGAGTCCTTTTCGCGTCCTTTCCTTTTGGTACCCGTTCAATCCAACGCATGCAACTGTGGGTGCCAATGGGCAACTGTTAAGCCCCCCCGTTGCTCACGTCGGCAAACAAGCAGCACCCCTGTCTTGCCCATGGGCCTCTGTGGATCAACCCGAGCGTAGGGCATCAAGCAAGCTGAACTGGAAAGGATATTTGTTTATTGAAAAACAAAAACAAAACATGGACCGCACGTCAAATGAGCTTAGGCCATGGAGAACAAACACTTTCTCGGTTCCGTGGCCGACTTCAGCCGGAACTCTCCAAGGATGTTTTTTGCTTTTTTTTGGGGGGGTTACACGGGGTCAACGCACCTGGAGGGTACCAAGAAGCTCTTGAAAGAACAAGGACCCTTAAGGAACCTTCCTCCCATGAATTCTCTGGAGGGAAATCCAAAATCGGATCCTTATGAGCAGAACCTTCATGCGGGGGTTTCTCAAGAAGGTGGATTTCAGGGGGTGCCCGAACTTGCAACAAAAACCAGCCCTCTGTGAGGGCTGTTAGCCTATCAGGGCGTCCTTTTTGATATGTGTCCAGGTGGCGAAGACGGCGGTGGCGATCTTGGGCAGGTCGAAGCCGAAGATGCCGTTGAAGAAAAGGGTGAACCTTTGCTCGGTTGCGAAATCTGCGAAGCCCTGCTAAAAGTGACTAACTTTTAATACGGACAACCCATTAGTTGGCAAAAGTTAAAGTCCTAACATTGTAAGCAAAATGCACCAAAGTTTGGGAGGCCAGTCTTGCAGCCATCTCCTTTCGCTTATGCGAACATACTGTGGATGGTTGCGAAATCCAGTTCGCACCAAAAAAAACATGGTTTCTGATGCTTCCCCTGTAAATAACCATAAACACTGGTTTCCCCATGGTTTCCAAGTGGTGCGGTTTGTGGATATCGTTCATCCATCCATCCACAATATGATTGTCCTCGGGTGAAAGCTGGAACCGTTTGGAGCCTGTGGGTCCCCTGACCAGAACCCGCACTTTTCATCAGCCCAAAGCCTGCAAGGGATCTCCAAGAAAGGGGTCTCCCAGCTCGGTGAGCTCGCCATAGGCAGAGCCTGTTACGGAGAAAACCCGCCGACCTGTTGGCGGTTCATTCGAACGGGGGTATAAGATACGTTAGAACCACATGAACCACATTTACTAGTCATGCTAAGCAGTAATTACTAAGCCCTTGCACTATCCAGACGGACTTCGTCATCATTTGCCAACACCTATCACACTCGCGAATTGGAGCTGCGAGAATCTGCTTGTGGAGTGCCTTTTTGCGTGTCAAGCGCGCTTTGGCCTCACCTCCTGGACCGGGCTCAGGAAAACAGTTGACAAGGGAAACATCAAACCATGGAGAACAATCCACAAATGGGTTCCTTAGCATATGCCCACATGCCGCGTATCCCCTTGCAAAGTAACATGAAACCCAAGAAAAGCCATCAACCCTCTCTTTGGGTTCCATGCCAACAGTCCATCGCGCCCAATAATTATACCCGCTGGCCGGTGACCCTGGGAGGTATAAAGGGCTTTCGCTGAAAATCTGGACAACCAATGCAGCGCGTGGACGGACTCGGACAAGCGGCATAGATTGACCGAGGTTCGCGAAGTACATGCCGCCCGAAGACGTGTCCTGGACGGCCAATGGGGCCCGGTTTTGATTGGCGAAACCAAAAGTAACTGTCTGGGGCCACTTCAAAATGAGAATAATAAGAGGGTCGCCGCTGCAAAGGGTTAGACATGTAAGTTAAATTGGAAATGGACCCTGTGGCGGGCGTCGGGACATGTTGGAGTCCCTGCATCGTTTTGCAGCTGGGACATAGCAATTGTTTAAAAGGTTGAAAGGAGAAAGGTCGACAAAGAGCAACAGGTGAGCGTCCCTGCATTTGTTGAACAGGAAGCCACATTTCCAAACCATGGCTAAACCGATCCGCGATGTCAAGAGCAAGGCAACGGAGACCCGTTGCGACTGAATTTGCATCGCTCCAGCCGAGTCTGAAACCAGGCGGATCAAAGTCAAGAGCAAATAGGGCCCCCCGACTTACAAGCCTCCTAAATGGCTCCAAGCGAGACTCCTGGGCTACTGTACAAGGAAGGGCCGAAGAGGAGAGGGCGGTTTCTCCTGGGCATTCCTGAATAGACCGCCCAAGGGGTTGAAGGGGGGAGGTCTATCACCTATCAACCGATCACCTAAAGGCCTCAGTCGGGCATTATCCTTGGCTCCAGCAATAACCCGCCCCTGACTCGCCCCCTTGGAGGTCAATGAAGTGTCGTAAGGGGTGATCCACATTTGCAAGTGAAGAACTCCACTTCCAAGGGGTGGCAGGGTGCTTTATGTTTCGAAAGGAGAGGCGTCATTAAGAACGGCATGATTCTAAGAACGAATGAAGTTGCATCACCAAACTTGAATCAACGCTTTCAGTACAGGATTTTTATGAAAAGGTAAGCCTGGACATGCCGCATCCCGTAGGAAGCATCCGAGAAAGCCAAAGCCGCAATCACACGGCAAACCACGTCTGCTCGGCCCTGCCCAAGCATGCAGGGCTGCCTTGGCCGTATTTATCTGGGTTCTGCCGTTCTACTATTGGGCTTTTGATCAACCGGGGTCTTCATATCGGTTTCCTCGAGATCAATGAACTAGGGCCACTACAGGAAGCGACCTGTTTCCGTTTGCCAGGGTTCTCTGCATTAATGCCTGCGGGGAGCCTCCAAATTCGACGTTGTCCAAAATGTACATAAATCCTTCGAGCAAACCTGATATGGGTATGTGTCAAAATTGGGGTCCCCCCCCCACCCAAAAGAAATGATGGCTTTTCTCTTGGTGTCCCTTTCAACCAACCAGGAAAGGGCACCTTCAAAAACAGACGCACCCAAACATAATGTTAACCCCGGATTAATAAACCCCTGGTTGATTTTCATTGAGGGGTGTCCCCTCTTACTGGTTGGATTCAGACCACTTTTGGAGGGGTGAGAAAACCCCACCCAATACTAGGTCCTCCAGTAAAGAAGTTAGAATAAGTCGGTACCAACTTTCTTCTGTAGTCTATTTTAGTAGGGTCCCGAACCCTCCCAACCAAAAAAGTTGGGAGAGAGGTTGGGCACCAATTGCTGGGGGACCTAGAATCATGGGACTGGATGCCAATCTCCTTGCCAATGGTGGTGCACGCCAGCGCAAAGAGGTATATCACTAGCGCCCTTGGGAGCGCGAGCCGCATCGAGCACGCGAGTTTTAGGGCCAACGGGCCTGGCGGCGTTTTTCAACGAAACCCAAACAGGAAACCAACTAATTTGAAGGGCCCCCATTTTATTGAAAACACCCATCTATAGCTCACTCTCCTCGCCTTGTGAGGAAACCACAAGGCCAAGCCCCCAGGATTCCGATTTTGAATCCGAACCCCGTTCAAGGGGAGCGCATGGCATAAAGCATGGCATGATGTTTGGAGCACGCTCGTGAACATAGGTGTCCTTTTAGGCGAAATGTATGGGTTTCCCTGGTAGATGCTTCCAGGCAAACCAGGGGAATGCATCTATTTTCCTAGCTAAACAACCAAACAGCACACCAATGCTCATGAAATATGGTGTTTACTAAACGAGAGTTACATGATCAGCTCATATACAATGTTTTGGAACATATGTCCTATGGCGTTTAAATAACCGTCAAATGGACTGAGGCGTTGTAAGAAGGCCAGGCATTCTGAACGATGCTGGCGCTCTGATCGCCAATTGGAACTGTCTGCCGCTGTCTCCGGCCGTGTGAAACAAATATAGGGGCAAAGGTAAACCCCGAAACGCACGTAGGAAACGGATCCAATGCAAGAGAAAGCTCAACCTGTTTGGGGCAAGGCCAACGAGTGTTTGGCCATGGTTGGCTTCACTCTCTTTGGATGGCTGTTGGAAAATCGTTGTCCCACAGGTCTCACACCATCAAACCTAACCCCAGAACTATGGGGCCAAAGGGTTACAGGGTGTTGCTTGGAATCAAAGAACAGCGATGAACAACGTCCAAATCTGGCACCTGGGACAGCCCCAATCCCTGACTGCGCTTTGGGGCCGTCGCAGTAGACCTCGGAAAGAGAGTGAGGGAGAGAGAGAGAGAGAGAGAGAGAGAGAGAGGGCAGGTAAGGAGTGTTGGTTGGGTCACACGTCTACGTGCCGCTGTGACAACATTGATACCCTTTAGGCTACCCCGTTGCCGCTGAGAGTCTATATAGCATGTTGTCAGCAACTAAACATCAAACCGCCAAACCTCCGGGACCTTCACAAGAGAACAAACAAAGCCAAAAAGGTAGAGAGCTCTGCTAACAGCTGAGATAGTTGTTGGTTGTAGTCTTTGGCAAGCTGCAAACAAAAAAACATGATCAATAAACAATGATGCGGAGTTTATTGCAGTGGTGGAAAACCTAGACCTATGTAAAGGCAGTCCACAAGTAAGCCACCGAATTGGAACGGAACGTAGGAAGCTTTACCTGAATTGCCTGCCATGTTCAAACCAGGGACCTTTGGGGGAATGCGCATACGACATACAAACCAACCTTGACATCCCAGAAAGACGCGGCCAGCCAGGCTCTCGTTGCTGGAAAGCCAAGCATTGGGTCTGCTCGCTTTCCCCGGAGCTTGACACAATGCACTGTTTCTGTGAACAATGATCTGGGTGATTTCGTCAACCATTCAGGAACTTGCGTGGTAGAGGTTGCAAACCAACACCTTTGTGAGGTCACTATATATATCGTGCCCTGAATGTTGGGAGCTGACAACTCATATTACGCCACGTAGCCACGTGGCCACGAAACAAAATATTGCTCAATCAACCCTTTCCCCGTGCAGCCGCTTGGCCTCATCGGGACAGTGCCAGTTCCGAGCTCTGGGATGCTCAACCTACGGAAGTAGCTCATAAGCATTGCCATCAGTGGGGTGATATGGGGCTTGGTTGAATTGCTACAAAGGAATGCTTAGCTCGGCGAGGACACCGCAAAACATAGCTTCTGATTCTGTCATATTCAGTCGATCCTAAAGCATCGACTTTATTTGGAGGAGACCCCAACTCGGTTGAAAATCCAAATGAGAAACGACACAGGCTCTGCACTCTTCCCTTGAACAAAAGGGCCATGAGCCACCAATGCCGACCTGATGAAAGACACACCGGCGGGACGCCGCTCCCAAAACTATGCCTTCCGGAGCAAGCAGGGCAAACCGTGACCAACCCAGGCATGTCCACAGCGCTCACCTTCCATATGTAGACGATCGACTTCTCCGAATCCGTTTGCTACTCGGGCCAATACACATACAACAACAAACACAAACAAACACTCGTCAGGAATGAGCCCTCAAAACCTGGGGTGAATCGACACACGTCATCTCAAGAGCGTCGAGGTCAGGTGGATGGGTGCCATCAATGGGATTTTCTTCTCTTTCTCGCCCCTGGGGCCCCGCGCAGAAAGTGAAGAACACCGAGCGCGTTGCCACACCCAGCGCCTGAGAAACCCCGAATCGGCTCTGCAAACTCGCTTTGCTACACCAGGGTGAAAATCCCTTTATGCCTCGTGAGCAAAGAGGATGAGAAAACCTATAGCCATCTACTTTCCCCCAAGTGGATTGCCCAATTCCCTAGCAGAGCTATTTGACCATGTCATATAGTCTCCGCAAGATATAGACAAAACCAAGTGGTAGCAAGTATGTGATTGGCCAAAATGAGACTGTGAAAGGTCAGACATGCACTGATGTCGCCCTCCCCTTTGCTGGCAATATCCTTCTGCTCCAGGATTCCAAGGAGGGGATGACACGCTCTTCGTCTGGTCAAATATCACCCCTCTCCCCACATCACCACCCCCCTCCCATGTGATATGCCTTGGTCTTCTCATTGCGGTCATCTGACAAGATGACATTGATGGAGATTATATCCCGTTTGATTGTCTGTTCTACTTTCTCCGCTTCCAACTCTAAGAGAAGGTCAGTGTAACCAACGGCAGCCTTGTTCATCTTTTGAAGGTGTTTGAGTTGCGCCTTCTTGTCATCTGTATCCATCACCTTAAGCATCGAATGCGGTCTTGATGCCTTATCGCGACTGATGGCCTGTCACCCAGTACCCTTTTTGGTTGATTTCAAAGGAAACCAAAGGGACACCAACCACTTTGTAGAGGTCAGTCCCTTTGGACAAAAACAAGGGGACAAACAAGAAAGCATACAGCCTATATATATATATATATGTATTACAAATATATATATATATACAGACATGTGTGATGCTTAGTTGCAGACCCTGGCTGGACATGCTTTACAAGGGAATTTGTCCAGCTCAGAAATGGCGCTCACATTGACCTTGCCACATTTGAAGGTTTTGACTTCTTGGGGCCACTGCCCTCGATCCATGGTCCTTCTGACACAAATCCAATGGTCACAAACGGCTTTTCGGGCAGAATTGCACAAAAACAAACCTCCATGCTCCATTGGTCCCCTTAAGACACTCTGGAAGCCGATATGAGTATTGAAGCTTTTGGCGCGCGTCGCCTGTTTACCCAGATCCGAATCAATCATGTAAAGGACCTTCAGGTGGACTCGATTGATGTGGGGAGTCATGTCCGGCAACCATGTTTGAACGCCCCAGTTGATTCGCCGCAAAACACCACAGAGAAAGTGGGCGTGTCCAAGGCGGCAAACCTGTACCAACCTGGTGTCAGTGCTAGGAAACCATACCCCTTGCGCCAATGTTTGGCCTGGCGGCGAAACCCAGAATTCGATGGGGCAACAGGGTACAGCCTTGCATGACCTCGGGATGCACCGGTTTTGGAATGGCCCTTCTGGAGGGCCGAAAGAAGGTTGGTACAAACAACAATCGCAGGCAAACAAGCGAACACCCAGCCAGACCTGTCGTTTGGGGAAGTCGAGGGGTTGCAACTTACCCAAAAGGCCCATTTCAAGCTCCTAATAAACTTGGGTTTATCGTTGTCTCAGATGCCCAGTGGCCAGGGGAAAACAAAGCATCCTTTTTTGGTTGGTTGACTTTCAGGGGAACCCTTCCCAAAAGAAAATGAGCAAGGAAGCAGCATCCTTTTTTGGTTGGTTGACTTTAAGGGGAACCCTTCCCCCTTAGAAAATAGGATACATAAACTGGGGTTGATCATTGTCTCAGATGCCCAGTGGCCAGGGGGGAAAAGGAAGCAACCCGCTGCGCAACTGGGGGAACACTGAAACCCCACGTTCCGCCGCGCCTTGACCAGGATCAGCAGCTCCGGCAGAGCCCGCAAGATGCGGACGATGCGCGCCACCCGCGACACCCGCAGGACCCTCCGGCCGGGGGGGGCTGGGTTAGTGGAGCTTGCCAAGCCTTGCTGTTGAGGTGTCAAAGGGAAACCAAAAGGAAAACAACTATTTCTCAGCTTCCCTCTAATTGGTGGTTGGGATTGGGGTTGAGGAGGGGTTTCCCATTTACCCTCTACAAGAACCAAAAGTTCAAACCCCCAAACCACCAATCCAAACCGCCAATTGAGGGGTACCTACTTATTTTTTTTTGGGGGGGGGTTCCCGACTTAAAAAACACATACCCATGTGGGGCCTTCCCAGGGTTCGTTCTCTTGACTATCAGGGAAAATCGATTCCACTTTTGAGCTTCCCCAAGTTGCAACCAGTGCTGGAGAAAAGGGAAACCCTTGCTTGGGCTTGGCAGCTTTTTGGTGAGCCCAGCAAACACAAAGGGCTGTACAGGGGATCACATTCTGGAATGTTGTTTCCAAGCAAACCCCTGATTGTTTGACATGAAGGAGGGCATCTAAAGGAACCTGCATGGGCCTACCCTTTTGGTGCGATGGATTTTGGTGCGATGGGAAATGACAAGATCCAGGGTGCGATGCACCAAAGCCCAGCCCTTTACTTGATGGTGCTCAGCAAGGAATGAGCACAAGGAATGACAGCGGAGAAGAAAAAACAGAGATTTTGTTTCCCTCAAAGGAATCCCCAAAATCGGTTCAACCAACCCCCGGAAGGGGCATTCCCTACTGAGACACAGCAAGTTTATCTGCTCAGCCCAGCTCATTGTGGTCCTGCAAGCTGAGCTTGCAGCAAAGGAGAGCTCAAACTGGGTGTCCCGTTGTATCCCATGTCCATGACACACCGGGTGGAGCCACGCAGACACGCATCTATCAGGAAGCTGTCCCGCTGCTTGAAATCCAGCTTGGGTTTTACTGGAACACCTTCTGCGACTTCAGATCAACAAGTAAACTGGATATCCTTGACGCTGCAGGATTGAGCAAGATTCACCAGTGTTTCCCTCCAAATGTCTCAAATACTGGCTCGCTACATTGTCGCCAACGGCGTGGGACAAAACATTAAGTATTGCATAGCAACTATAGTACAAATGCGGCTGGCAAAACACTATGGGAGTCACCCAACTCTCACACATGACACACATACATGAAAACAAACACATATAAATATGTCTGGGCACATTGGCAATAATAAGGAAATGGGTGAGCTAATCTCACCCCAAATGAGCTCGCTTTTAGTTGTGCGGATATACGATACATACGCCCCACAAACCTGTGCGATGGCCAGCAAGGACAAGTGGCCAGGCGCCTGAGAAGCCTAAGACTGGATTGGTCAACGAGGCTGAAGTCCACGTCTGCAAAGTGGAGGATCCTCAGAGGCGGTCAGGTCGAAAGAACTCGCGCTGGAGTAGATGCTCGTAATATCTATGGACATATGAGAACCATGCAAAGAACTAAGAAGGCGGCCGCACCTATTTATGAATGGGGTCGTCCCTTACTAACCTTCATCTACCCCAATTTGATTGTGACTCATATTGGCTTCTCATATACTGGTTCAGAGTAGATAGCAGGGGGCGGGGGCATTGCAGCTTTAGAGTGGCCAAGGCTACTAGTGACGCTCAGGGGCCCATTGAGGGCCACAACCATCCCACGGCTCTCCTTGCTGTGGCTCTAAGTCTGTATTGGAATACGCGAGCGCGTGTACATATATATATATATATATATATATATATTTATACATGCATCACTGAATCATCATTCTATACATGATGGGCGTTACTTAAACATCGAGACCCGTTTTGGCTGGTCTTGGACCAAAACCAAAAGAAATCTTTTGATTGGGCCCCCTAGTATTGAAACACCAATATTGTTGGTAATTCGCCTCGGCCCCAAAGGGGCCAAGGGCGCTCAGATCTCTTCTCCAAAGAGAATCTTCGCTTTTCCCCTCCCCCAACTCCCCGACCAAAATTTTGCCGGGCCGCCCCCCGCCCCCGCCCCCACCCATGTCGGCTGGACCCAAAATCCTGTCCGGCGGGCCTTGAAATTTTCGGGGTTCGTCGGCGTCCAGCTCCATGGGTCCATTTTTGTCGAAAATGTGCTGACAAATGCGAAAATCACTAAAAAATTGCTTTTTTGTCCTGAAAAGCATGACCTCCTGGTGGCCAGGCCTGCCTGACGTGTCTGAGACTAGGCTCAGGCCCAGCCCAACCAGCAACCCGCCTGCTGGCCAGGCCTGTCAGCCCCACCCAGCCTCAGCCCCAAGCTTGTCTGAAACAGGCCTACCCCAAGTCATCCAGCAAGCCCAGCGCCCAGGCCCTAGGCCCCAAGGTCAGGTTTGTCTAACGCCAACAATGCTCTCAAGCTATGCCAGCCACCAAGCCCGTCTGCAGTCCGGCTGCCCAAGCAACTCAGCCCAAGCCCAGGCTGGCCAGGCCTTGACCTCCTGCTCGCGTCTGGCCCCAAGTCATCCAGCAGGCCCAGCCCCGTCTCAAAGTACGCCAGCCTGAGACTGGCCTCAGGCCCAGCCCAGCCAACTCGCCACCCAGCCTCAGGCCCAAGTGTGTATGAAACAGGCCTTGCCCATCCAGCAACCCGCCCAAGCACAGCTCAGCCCAGCCCAGCCCAAGTTCCAGGCACAACCAGCAGCCTGGTCCGGCTGGTGGCTGAGACTAGCTTCAGGGCCCAGCAAAGCCTGCCCAGCCCAGGCCCCAGCGCATCTCAGGGCATGCCAGCCACTACGGCCCCCAGCTCCCAGCCCACCAGCAGGCTCAGCCCAGTGTGCCAAGGTCAGGTTTGTCTAACGTGTCTGAGACTGGCCTCAGGCCAACGACCAGTCTCACGTGTCTGAGACTGGTCTCAAGCTATGCCAGCTACTCAGCAGCCCAGGCTGACCAGGCCCCTTCGGCGCAGTCTGAGACTGGTCTCAAGGTATGCCAGCCTGAGACTAGCCTCAGGCCCAGTCCCTCAGCCCGCCTGCTGGCGTGTCTTACGTGTCTGCGACTGGCCTCAGCCCAGCCTAGCCAGCAACTCGCTACCCAGCCTCAGCCCATCCAGCGACCCGCCCAAGCACAACTCAGCCCAGCCAGCCGAAGTTCCAGGCGCAACCAACACCCTAATCCAGCTGCCCAGCACCACCCATGGCTTCGCAGCCTCGTGGCTGAGACTAGCTTCAGGCCCAGCCCAACCAGCAACCCGCCTAAGCCAACCCCACCCAAGCCCACCCGGTTTGAGACTCGCAGGCCTCAGCCTATCTAGCGCCAAGACTGGGCCTGGGCTCAACTAGCGTCTAGCCCAGCCCAGTCCGCCTGCTGGCCAGGCCTGTCTGACGTGTCTGAAACTGGCCTCAGGCCCAGCCCAGCCATAGCCCAGCCCCCTCAGTGCGGCTGCCCAGCCCGCCGTAAACTAGCTTCAGCTCAACCAACAACCCACGCAAGCAAGGTCCAGCCAAGCTGCCCGAGACTAGCTTCAGGCCCAGCGCAGGCTTATCTGATGTGTCTGAGACTAGCCTGTGGCCCAGCCCAACCAGGCGAGGCCGGCTTGTCTGACTTGTCTGGAGCCAGCTTCAGGTATTCGGACCTTCCCAACACTGGCTTTCGGTGTTCCTGACCCTTCCCTCAAACTAGGCTGGGCCGAGGCGGGCAACGCGAAGCGTTTACAATTATCTGGATGTGATGGACCTCCAAAAGTGACACACACACACACACACTCACACCCGCGCGCTCGCATGGCAACAACCATTTGAGGAAAGGTGGCTACTCGAACCAAAAAACACCTTTTATTCCTCTCGCGAAAGCAATCGACCTCCATGCGTGTTCCCTCGCCCCTTGCGCAATCCCCCAAACGAGGATTGTGAGAGTTGTCCACTTCTGCGATAAATGCCACTGATTGAACCTTCTCAATGACGAAATCTTCCCCAAAGAGGAAGGATACAATTCCCTTCCCAAACGCCCCTTCACTCCCACCTGCGAACATGCATGTCACAGGATCAAAGCAGAACACCTCCGAAAAGGACCTTCCCGGAGTCCGAAAATTGGAAAGCAGCCACTGCACATTGGGTCAAAGTTGGCATATTTTCAATCGAAAGCCTACATCTTTCGAGGGATCCATACGTCTTCACAAGCTTCCGGCACGCATACTGTCTTTGCCCCTGTTCCTTTTTTCTGGCAGGTCAAGGAAAATGGCCTCAAGATTGGGTCCAAGGCAAACGTGATACAATTGCGGCGGGATGATCAGTTCCCGATTCATAAGCCCGGCCCTTTTCCTGAGTTACATTGCTTGAATTCTGCCACCTGATTTGGGACCCCTTTGACAAACCAAGCGGAACCCTGCACCCTTTGTTTGGGAGGGCAACCCTAGGAGAGCTTGCTTCTATCTGAACAAAAATGGCGTGGTGCTTGTCACACAGTGCGGCAGCTTCACCCGACTGACAGGGTCCAGGAAAGCGGATCAAAACAAACGAGACAGTGCATTGCCGGCAAGCACGCCGGCAAATGGACGCATGATGCCGCAATCAAAGGTCAAACCATCACGCTGTAAAGGAACACGCAAACAAACCAACTAACTAACAAGCAAGCAAGCAAGCAAGCAAACAAACAAACAAACAAACAAACAACGCTCAGACGTCCTGTAAACGCGCGTTTTTTTCGTTCTTTCCCCCCTGTAATGGCCGCAAAAACGCGCAAATCATATGGCTTTTCACAGGTTTCGAGCAAGTTCAGCAAAGGGTGGGCTTACCATGTGGCCGGCATGGATGCAGTGCTGCGCGGGTGCACCTGAACGGGTGTTCTTACCATTTGGCTGGCATGGATGCAGTGCTGCGCGGGTGCACTTGAACGGGTGTTCTTACCATTTGGCCGGCACGGATGCAGTGCTGCGCGGGTGCACTTGAGCGGGCGTGCCTATCGTGAGTGTGAATTTCCATATATTTCCCGCGTTTTACGTGGTAGTGGCCGGACATGCACGAAACCTGTGAAAAACCATATGATTTGCGCGTTTTTGCGGCCATTACAGGGGGGAAAGAACCAAAAAAAGCGCGCGTTTACAGGACGACCGAGCCACAAACAAACAAACAAGCCTAATACGCAAACATATCTATCAAACTCAGGACTAACAACGAAGCAAACACATGAGCAACTAGCACACTAAACCTGACAAACTTTCCGGAAAGCAAGCACACCACCACACGAACAAACTAAAAGACACACAAGCAACTAACAAATTCAAACCAGCAAACAACCGGGAGCGACAAACCAACACACACACACACAGAACAACAAAATAGTTAACTGACTTGTCAAGACAACCGATCATGAAGCACGCAACCAGGCAACCGCACAACACAAATACTCAACAAGCTCGCAAGCAAACCAACATAACACCAAATAGCATGAAACTGAGCGAACAAACGAACAAACAAATCAATGACCAATTGCATGTGAATATATATATATATATACATATATGCGTACATGCATACATGCATCAATGCATAATAAATGAAGTACATAAACACCCAAATAATTCACAACAACCAACACATGTGTACTTAAAACAACACACACACACAAAGACTAGAGTAACTAATAAACACGCAAAGCAATAATAATAAACATACAACAAAAAAAAACATTTAAAAGCATAAACCATCGGGAATAATAGACAGATCGACACATGGATCGATACGTGAATCGACAACGAAATAAATTTATAGATTGACAAAAAACAAATATCTAGATTGATAAACCAATCACAAATTTCATACACAAAACATATATAGGGATACAACTTACAACCTCAAAGCAACATACACAAATAAATAGCTAAAATTACATCAAACAATAATTGCACTAACAAACAAGTCAATACGTACAAAAACAAAAAACCGAAACAAGCAATCAACAAGTAGACAGTTACATATATGCAGAAAGCGAGAGAGAGAAATCAAGCAATAGACAAAACAACAAACAAACAAACAAACAAGCAAGCAGCGCAATTGCCGGCAAATACGCGTGGCTGATCATTCCAGCTTCCTGTTGGCCACCCTCGCACAAAACTTCGCGAGAAAAACCAAACAAAGAAAAACAACTTCGAGCCCCCCTGCGCGGAACTTTTGCGGAGGTCAACGCTAAGACCCCCCTCCATATTTCAATACGAGGACCTTTCGGACGACTCTCATACATATATATATATATATATGCTACCCCCCCCCCCCCGAGGTACCCAGGTTTGGGTACCATATATATATATATATTGACAAAAACAAACAACGACCAACGTAATCCAGTTCCTTTTTCAAGGCGCACATAGAAGATCCAGGTCTCCAGGAGCATTCCCAGCACCAGCAAGGCGTCTATACCCATCCAGGGGTCCTCGAGCGAGGCGGTTGGAGGCCTGTGGGGGTCTTGAGTCTGTCTTTGCAGGGTACCCTTTTTGGGTAGGCTTTAAAGGGAACCAAAAGGAACACTTACCATTTTTGGGGGGGGAACCCTAGAAAAAGACACACCCACTGTGAAACCAGTTGTGAGTAGAACAACGTCTTCGTACTTTATAGCCCTTTTACTGTCCCTGGCAAAGACCGAGATGGATTTGCCTCACAATAGGCGACCGCCAACAGCTACCAACAAAAGCAGATATCCTTCGTACCTGTTGCAGAATATGGGATGCTCAGCTCAGTGGTCTGTTGCTTTAGACTCAAGCTCGCTTTGAGAGCAACCGCGGAAAAAACCATCAGTTTACACCATGTGTGCGTGTGATATGTCTAGGGGCTCTACAGAGTTGTGTCACTTCCTGAGTGGATTGGCCACAAACAAGTTGAACACCTTTTAGTTTACCACCAACGTGGTCCAAACCCAAGCTCAGGAACTCGGGGAACCTCAAGTGGCAGTTGACCTGAAGGATGCCACAAGTTGAGTGAACCGTGGCTGAACATTTCCCGACACTGGCGAATCAACGTGTTGCCTTCATTGGCTGCTGGGCAGATGCAGGTGGAAAGGTGTCCCTTTGGTTGGTCATGTTTGGCGGGGAGGCGGGAAGCCCATTTTCTCGCGGTCGCAGGAGTAAATCATTGCTTTTGGCAAACGCCAGTGAAATGATGGCAACTAGAAACGAAACAAACCAAAGTTGCCAATAGTCCTGGCAGTTTTGCCCTCTAGGGACAGGTCAGATCCAAGAAGCAACTAGTCACATCTAAGTCTGTGGGGATGGTAAGTAGACCAGTGACCTACTCGGTGGACTCCGGCTGTCCCCGCGAAATCGTCACCAGAAATGGGGTTGCCTCAAAAAATAGGGGACACCAACATTGTTGGTTTCATTTTGACTTTCCTTTGAACCACCCGAAAAGGTAGCCTCAAACAGAGACCAGCCACCTCAATGGCCAGGTAAAACCACCC